TGAGATCTAAGCCATTTTTTAGGCTGTAAGTGGGGTTGAATCCAGATTTCTCTCGAAGGAGGAAGTTTAATTTTTTAGCAAGGAAATAAGCTGGTGCACCAATATATGAGACAACTGGACGAATAGGAACATGTTCTTTATGTATTTTTGGTAACCCATATAAAATGGGTGCTTGAGGATTCATTGGAACAAGATTGCTCCGAGACAAGTTGTGATCGGGAAAAACATATGATGACTGTTGTATACATAACTTAATATCTGAAGTAAACTTTTTGGTTGGGTCAGACTCCAATAGCTCAAAGTCATCACCTTGGATAACATCGTTAACTTTCTGGCTGTACCCACTACTCTCCATAATAACAACAGTATTGCCTTTATCGGCTATAGTAACAATAAGGTCGTTTTCCCTTATTCTCTGCTTTAGGGACTTAAAAACAGAGAACTCAGGATTGAAATGGGAAGATGCGGACTAACTCACCTCTCTTAAATATCTTCAAGCCTGCTCTCTAATAATGTGGGCGTTGCGCGGCGGTTTGTTTTTAAATTTTACAAACGGCTGCGTAAGTCCAGCGGTGATTGGTCGCATGTTTTATCGCATGACGCAGTCGCTCGCTCCTTAGGTAGAGAGCGGTTGCATCATCGGTTTGTATAAAAGGCACTTGTTTTGGGCCGCCGCCCACTTAGCGGTTAGCCACCGTAGAGTCTATATCACCTGAGGATGCCTCGTGTAGAGGCGAAACACGTGTCGTATTATCGTCAGTGGTGTGTCTTGCCTAGTGTAGTGGTGTTGGAAGTAGCGGTGCTGGGATTAGTGGTGACGGGGATAGTGCACGCAATTGAGGGAGGGCGGGAGGTGCTTCTTCATACTAGGTAAGACACATCATTTTATTTTATAACGCGGATATTTGCGAAGTAAATTTTTGTAAAAGCTTTTATATAATGGATTTCCGCAAAGTAACGCCTGATTCTATTAATTATAGGTAATACCTATCTTTTGTCCAAAACTTTTTTATTAAATTATTTATGTCAATTACATGAAATTTATGATTATTATCATTACAATTATATGTCAAATTTAAATTATTATTAAATATTAAATTATGCATTTGTATATATAAATTATGTCTTAAATTATTTTCTTGTGGCAATCCCTGTATATAAGGCAGTGTGAACAAGACAATTTTGTGTACATTTAAGTTATTAAGTTGTTCAATATATCTTAATAACTGTTTGTTGTTGACACTGCCTCTTCTACCAACAAAAATTATTATTGTACTATTTGGGCAAAATTTAGTAACAATAATTTTATTTAGGATGTCACTAAAAGATGCTCCAGGTATGCAGCAATTTGTAACTTTTTGTCCCTTTAAAGAGTTATTTAAAGTTATGCCTAGATTTTTTCCAATGTCATCGTTATAAACAATTATATTATTTTTAGTAATATTTGAGTTATTTATTATTTTAATAATATCCTCTGCTATGGCACTGTCATAGAGTATGGTGGTGGTATAATATTATCAGCACACACTGACTTTGAAGAATCTGGCATTGAGCGCTGACACTCACATTGATATTTAACTAAGGAGTCAAACCGCTCCTCATTATATTTACAAGTCTTTACCAGACTATCCATAGCCAATATGTGTTCTTTTATTTCATTTTGGGCTGATTTATATTTATTGGACACAGTTTGAAGGGAGTTCATAAGTGATAATATTTCTGATTTAAGGCACTCTACTTCAGTCTCATAACATTTTTTATATTATCCACCTCAATTGAATACAACTTAAGTTCACATAACAATGCTTGTTTTCTTTACATACATTAACATAATTTTTGGTATTAATCTTATTTCTTATTAATTTTTGTACTTTCCTTATGTATTTATTAACTTTTATATACTTCTTCAATATGGTTTTACTGCAATTAATCCTTACTGTGTTTCCTGAAGTGGAAGAGTCGTCACCTGTCAAGTCTATTGTTGCAGATTGCTGTAACATTCTTGAAGTATCACATTGCACAAGCTCAGAGAACAGGCTTTGAGTCTGGGAGGCTTTAAGGTTATCTATATACGTTTTAAATTGTGTTATTTGCTCATTAGCCTCATTCAACTGTAACTTCAATGCAGCAATTAACCTGAGAGCTTCCTCATATTCCTTGCTGCATTGGTCAAACTCATTGACCGTTCCCTGTAGCTGATCTCTTTCTTTTATAACACTTGTGTATTCTGTATGTAACTTAACCATATCACATTTCAATTGTGTATTTTTGGCAATTATGCTAACTATTTCCCTTTCATTATCATCCCTTTCATTAAGCAACAGTTCACACTGCTCCCTGGACGCCTTAAGTTCTTGGAGCGCAAGCTGGAGTTGGTTCTCCGTCTGGCGCGTCTTGCCGTTGCGAGTATTCATTTTACTATTTATTATAAATAATAAAAGAAAACAAAGATCGAATACAGAAGGAGCAGAGTAAGCTAATGTAAAGTTGTTGTTGTTTTTTTTTTTCTATTTACAAGTCTCAAATCAAATTATCGTTAAAACAATTCGAAAAGAAACCCGCAAAGAATGTAATAACCCGAGTAATAGAATAAATATTTAATTTATAAAAGGAATGATATGAAATAAGGATTACAATAATTTTTAAAACAATGTTCGTTACCTGTCACTTTTTGTTCCAACACCAAATTGTTGTTATAATATTTATGTACTAACTTTCTTAAATATTAAATACAAAGCGGCAGTAATTATTAGCTATAACATAAAATTGAGGTGGATATGGTGAATTTACAATATTTAAATTATTAAAATTTATCGGGACCAGTTACTTTTACAACTTATTACCAGGGTTGCCACAGCAAAAAAAAGTAGTACGTACGTAAAAGTAGTAAGCACTACGTACTAGAACAGACAACGAGACTTCTTTGCTTGCAACACGTGTTGGAGTCCTCAACAGTCTCTAACTCAATTAGTTTGAGCGAGGCGCTTACTGTGACACCTTTGGGAACAAACATAAACCTAATAAAAACGCCTTCATGCGCATTACGCACGCACAATATAAGCAAAGCTTTTCGTAGCTCTGTCGCATTTTTGACTACCGCGCGCTCCGTACTGCCGAACGACACTTATTCTAATATATTGTAATCTAAGTAAATATATTTAATTCTTATTTTACATAGATAGCTTTTAAACTATTTAAATAAAATTATAATTAAAATTAATTGTGACATAATATTACATTATATTATATTAATTAAGAACATACGCAAAATAAAAGACAAATTTTAAAAATATTAAATACTATGTTCTGCTTTAAATGATCTGCTGCTGGTATCTATGGGTATGCAGACGACAGCACAGTTGTGGAGAGATACCAAACAAGTGTCCCAGCCAGTCGGGATCGAATCCAGTCCGAACGAGAGGCTATGGTTGAGCGTGTGAATCTTACACTACAGACAGTCTCCGAATAGGGCGATGCCAATCTCGTCAGATTCAACGCCTCGCAAACACAAGCGTGTCTTTTCACCGCTAAAAGGAGCCACTGGAGTACACTGACCGCCTTCAGTTAATAGGGGTTGAATTTTCTCCGAACTTTAAATATGGCCGGTTCATTGAGTCGAGAGCCAAAGAAGCTGCAAGGAAACTTGGTGTCCTTGCAAGGGTGTGGCGGTACTCCACGCCGCGGCAGCTTCTTACATTATATAAAGCGCAAGTCCGGTCGTGCGTGGGTACTGCTGTCACATATGGGCTGGTGCTGCAAAATGCCACCTGGCAGAGTTGGACTCCGTGGAGAGACGTGCTAAGAGGATCATTGATGGCCTTGATTTGGTTGAAACCAAACTTGTCAGCCTCGGGCACAGGCGCAGAGTAGCCAATCTCTCGGTATTCTATAGGATGCATTTCGGTGAACGTGCGCAGGAATTCCACGATGTAATTTCTCCTTCTCCTTCCCACCATCGAACGACCAGTCGGTGGGTCTTCACCCCTTTGTTGTCGATATTTTACGCATTAGAACTAAACGGTTTGCTTCGACTTTTCGTCCGAATACAATCTGGGCGTCTTCAAGGCAAGAGTTAATAGGTTTTTGTTACGATAATACAGTGCAATTTACTATCTAGGGCTGCATCACTACTTACCACCAGGTGGGATTATGGTAAAGCACTGGCTTATAATAAGTAAAAAAAAATACTCGATATAATGACAATACAATCTCAATAAAGAATAATTACATATTGATCATTCTACTTACCTATAATCTATAATACCGACTATCTACGTATAATATATCCGCGCATGCACGAAGACAGAGTAGCGCACACGTTTTGTTGTGAAGTGGTGTCACCCATGAGAACTAAAATGTCTCGTCACCAGTAAAACAGGGTCTCCAGTTTCCTGCACTCACAATATCCGGAAATACAGCCGCATTATTCCACTATTTCATCACGCCTTTGTTCTGTGAGAGATGTAAAAAGTTTGTTTCCTTGTCATATTTCAAGATATTTTTAATATGTCTATGCCCTAAGAGATAAGCGTGAAATTTACTACGATTTCCCAGGGTTTAATTTTTTTGCGCTGAACCCTACTTCTTTTTCTAAAATAAAAGTATCCTTAATTACTCCATATAACACCAGCTATATGCCAGTGAAAGTCCTGTCAAAATAGGTCCAGCCGTTTCGGAGATTAGCCAGAACAAACAGACAGACACACAAAAATTTTTAAAATTCTTTTTTCGTTATTACTAACATATACAATTTTCATATGCATTTAGAAAAAAGCTGTTATTTTAACATTGCAAACAGATACTTCAATTTTATTTATTTGTATGTATAGAGTATAGATATAGACAAAAAGGCACTCAGATTAAATGTCCCCGTCGGGAATACAAAATCGTATCTTTCAAAGGGTTATTGGAATGAACGTGTTAAAAATGTTGATGTATAAAAGTCTTTGATAATTTTATAAAAAAATATTATAAAATTGTGTTTATTTTTATTGTTATAGAATTAGAACCAGATAACTTGACAGCGCTTCAAATAAAAGCTCAAACGGAATATGAAAAATGTGCCTTTGAGCGGTCTCTAATTCTTGCCCACCGTGGGCAGCAAATTAGAATATTGCCACCGAGATTTGCTGAATGCGCCAGATGTGCTGAGGAAACGGTATTATTTTGATAATTCCTATGCTCATTTATAATAGATACATCTACTAAATTTGAAAATAAGTAAAAACTAGATAATTATTAATAGCCATTTTGAAAAATAAAGTAAAAATATAACAGGTAAGAAATAGCAATATCTTGTTACTATGTAGATTCTTGTGACTAAATTACCCAAAATTAAACATATATTACAGAATGCAATGATTAGTGCAGCCAAATTATTTCAGATCCCTTGCATACGCATTATAAATGAAAAAACAAAACATTATTTATATTCTCAGAAATTTACTCCGGTGTGAGATTTATCGTCATACAAGTATTCACATAAATATTCTAGTTGCGCCTAGATAACGATATGGGAAATATGATCTAGACACGCCATTGAGTCAGCAAATTTCGGAAAAGAATAGAGCGATGCACTGGTCGTGCGTATTTTCGCGAACTTTTTTAAACACTTTTGAATCCCCCATACCACAAAAATTATAAGGAACACTAAGAGTTTTACATTTTTACAAGACAAACGTGCATACAGTCAACCTGATGGTAAGTAGTTTTTTTTTGTAGAATGAATGTGACAAATGAGCACACAGACCATCTGACGGTAAATTAATCTGTGGCCTTATAATCGATTAAGATTTGTGAATTTTGATTCTACGATAAAATGCCTCGTTTCCAGTAAAATGGTCTCCAGTTCTCTACACTCACCATACGAAACACAGCAGTATTAAGCTACTATTTTACGCTAGTATTCTGTGAGAGCATGGTCCTCCCCAGTTCTAGCCCATCCATTCGTGTTACAACCATAATATAGCTGCAGCGTAGATCTACCACGTATAAAAAACTGAAGTGGTAGTGGGACGGCCATATAGTTTGAAGAACTGAAAACACATGGGGAAGAAAGGTACTCGAATGGCAGCCTTGTACTGATAAGTCTCTTACTTGGAGTGAAGTGTACAGAAAACAGTTTAGTGTAAACGCAAAAATTAAACGTTGAAAGGCATGATGCATTTATTTAGACTAGTGGTCGAAAATCGACTGTTATTCATAAAATTTTAAGTTTTTTGCAGTGAAATACATTATAAAACTACTGAATAAGGATCATTTGTCTCAAAAAATTCATAGTAATTATGTCTATGGCAACATTTTAAAATAAGCGTCAGTAGCCTAATGGCAGGGCGCAGACCGCGAACTCGTAAGATCGTGAGTTGAATCTTCCATTCAACTACTGTCGTGAACCACTTCTAACACAAGCATTTTAAGCTTACCAGAAATGGTTAAAGGGAATCTTAGAAATGTTTGATAGCATTACTAGCATTTAAAAAAACATTTTAAAATACTCGCAAATAATTAAAAAAATAATAAAAAATTCGCACGTGGTAGAGCCATGCTGGTAATGGTAAAACTTTGTCAACTTATTGCTTGCACTTGCGCGAAGGTTATAGGCACAGTAAAAATAACTTATAGTAGGTGGCGCGCGTATCATACCAACAAATTTATTTGAAAGTTAAATAATATGATTCAACGTGTTATACGTGGTAGAGCCATGCTGCAGCTACATTAGTAGTATATTTGTAGCATGAATGGGTAGGCTCGACCGGGTAAAGACCAAACTCTCACAGAATACCAGCGTAAAATAACAGTTTAACACTGCTGTGTTTCATATGGTGAGTGTATAGAACGAGAGACCCTTTTTACTAGAAAAGAAGCATTCCATCTTAGTCCTCACGGGTGACAATGCATCTGCATTTTGATTCGCAAACGAGGAAAGATGTAGATGTCTATAGGTCACAGCAACCACTTACCATTAGTAGCACTGTGTGCTCGTTTGTCACCCTATCCTATCAAAAAAAATAGTTTTGCGACTATCTCTACTCTGTGTGACTTTTTGACTATAGACTTATATGTTTGACAATTACCATTAGTAGTATGAACGTAATCAATTTTATTTTATTTTATTTTATATATTTGTAATACATATAATATAATATAAATTTTAGCTTACTTCGCTCCGTCTCTATCTAAACTTTAACTATGCCAAATCTCACAACCTTACTTATGCGCAATATGCTTAAATAAGTACATTTCCCCTTCACGTAATAACATGTAGATAAGTAAAAGTGAAGGTACAGTAAATTCATCAGTCTCATTTCTGAGAGGGTTTTGTAAGAAAATGTCAACCGCGCTGCCCCAAAGCTTGTTAGGGAACTTCACATGACTTCGAAATATTTTTCTTCTTATTTCTCAGATATGCATGTTTCCTCAATTTGTTTATTTTCGCCGCCGAGTACGTGGTAAATCTGCACTTAAATTGCAATAAACATTTCCATTGATGCCGACGGGGATCGAATCCGGGTTGCAAACGTACTATGAAATTTATAGCGAGCGCTTAGCCCCTCACCTAATACGGCTTGATTATAATTAAATTATATACATAATAATAAACCAGTCTAAGTTTCGTACAAATAAGGTTGCCAACTTTTTTTGAGTAAATAAAATATACTTTTCTAAGCTAAAAAACTAAAGTACGACAAGTGAAAATAAAGTATTATTTATTCGCCATGCCTTTTTTTTCACACATTATCTTAACATATATTCTATGTCTGAGTTAAGATAACACTGTTTTTTTCATCCCATCCCCTAGCATTATTAAAAGAATAAACTTTGTAAATAACGCTGAATTTACTGTGCAGTGGTGGTGTAAGTACTATCCTCCCGTGGGTGTTGTAAGAGGCGAAAGCGGAAAAATCAGGAGGAGGGCAGCAGCTTCTCCCTAATAACTACTAACACTTGCCAAGCGTGGCAATACTATGGCCAATATCTTTCCCATGACACAATCTATGGGGAGACCTATGTACGGCAGTGGACTCTAATAGGCTGAGTGAATTAAAGTACAAAATCACTACATACTACATAGAAAAATATTTTGCCACCATTGTAAAGCGGATAAAACTGAAAAATTGATTAAATCATTTCCTTGCGCATATAACTTATTTTTATATAACTCGTTGTGTTTCATTAATCAAGATGTCAATCTTTAAGTTATGTATGTATAACTAGTTATTTTGGTAAACATTTAAATAATATCTTGCTGGCAACCCTAGGTACAAACAACGCCCGTGCTTGTCGGCTTCGCGACATAAGATTTAAAATCAGAATGGTTTTTTTTTAATTGTGTTACCCGTAATGATCTGCGGAACTAAGATATCTTTATAAAGGTTAGAGGTTATGGTGAAGTTAACATGCGCTTATGGAGCATATTTTTATAGTCTCGTCAAGTGATATGTCGTATCTGCAACAAAATATCTGCAGCAGTGTCAAAGAAACAATTAGTGTCCTGAAGATGCATAAACTAAAATAGTTATATAGTCTTACATGTATGAACATGTTCATCCCATGTATTAAATAGGATATAAAAGACCGGAAATTTTTGCAAAAGAAAATTAATTTTACAAGAGATGGACAAAAATAGCTTCGGAGGCTATGGAAATTATTTTAATTACTATTTGCCAAGAGTAGTTGGGATGGTATCATCGACTAAGGATCCCGTGATTACAAAATCTCAATTCACTATAAAGCCAATATCTTGAAATGTCACAAATCTGACATTTTAGTATTTATCTTAATGATAGATGTACATCAGATACACCAGTTCATAGTACAAATTAGTTATAGTTTATAGTATAAAACTTTTTGACTTTTGAAATAACTAGGTTCGGGAATGCTCCGGGGCTAGCGCAACAAAGGTCATGAAAGCGGCAATTTCAATGTCGGATGAAATACAGATAAAACGAGACCGTATTGGAGATGATATTTTTGAACCAGAAATCGTTGTTCGTGAGGGAAGAATGCAAAAACAACCTACACTGCAGGTATAATAGAAATAGAAACATTTTATTCAATATAGATTATAAAAAATAATTTATTGTTGAAAGTTACTCTTATCCTTAATTTACCACTGGTTCGGAAAATAACTTTGTCATGTGAAGAACTAACAAGAAACTCACCGCAACTTTTTTTTTAAAATAACAGTATACATTCTTTAAATTTATAAAATAATTAACAACACAAAACAAATTAGAAATAGCATGGTAGCAATCAACTCATTCCCAGGGGCTATAATCATCCATAAATTCCTTAATATTATATTAACTCCTTTTATACAATTTTGATTCATAAAGTTTTTAAACTTTGCGGTAGTCAGATTTTGTATATTTTTTGGTATTTTATTGTAAAAGTACATAGCCCTTACTTAGCATTACTGAATCTGTGGAGTCGATAATCACTACTTTATATCTTAATATGGTTTAATTTTTGTTTTGACAAATAACTATTTGTCAAAACAAAAATTAGCAGTCAGCGGCACTAGCAACTGCATTTTTTTTTAACTTATACAATTTGCCATCTAGAGTTTGTTATGTAGATAAGTCCATACTCATAACGCCGTTGGTGAGTGAAAAGCCGTCACACAAGTGAAGCTGCACCCATCAAAGTTTAAAAGTAATTTTAATCTAACTATTTGAAGGATATTCTAAATGTTACATTGAGCTTAATAATATTTTCTTATATTGACGCGATATTAGACATCAACTCGTAGTTCGTACGGATTTTATCTAGTTTCATTAACTATATTATATTTATATCCCTACGTCTTGAGTATTGTGCAGCACCGTTGGTCAGATTTTTGGTCAGATGTACGCTAAAATAACTTAGAGTATCTTGAAGTCTTGCACTGGTGTGCTGGGGATAGGGATTAAACTATAGGATACAAAGCAAACGATAGCGACCAGAATCTCTATTAAACTTAGAATGTTTTTTTTTAATTTCAATTAACAATACTCGATAAGTATAAGTGTCCTTTCATCAGTTTATGTAGCCTCTATATGATATAACGGCAGAAGTGATCCTTAAAAAGTTCATCAAGATTGCCACCGTCATTAATAAGATATTTGATATTACCACTCATTTATAGGTTCAAGAATTATCTAGACTTGAGAAACAAAAGTCGGAAAATATATCACGCCTAATGGCTTCTAAATATTTAGAACAAATGGCCCACGACAAACATTTTCTTATTTCACTGTGTAAAGATGAAAGGTTGATATCAGCAAACAAGCAGGGCTCAAAAATACTACATGAATTGGCTAACAAAGCTCGTTGTGATATAGAAAAGCGTCAAGTACGTATCCTTTAATCCATTTTTAACACATAGTTTTTATTTATAAGCAATAAAGCACGTTTAATCATCACAAAGACGTAATTAAAGAAAGTCATTGTAGCCGATTTTCAACCGTAGTGATAATTTGAGAATAATTTGTCAGAAGCTATCATCTTTACCTAGGATGTTACAGTGTCAATGATACATAAAATCACTTGTATTATTTGACTTCAAGTCGGGCGTTACATTAACGAGATAAGATTTGTTATTCGTTACTCATAATCCTGGATCAGGCTAGGATTTGAATCAGGTGAACGCGTTGTCAATAAAGTAAATATCATCATGAAAATAAAAATAATTAAATGATTTCTTATATTTACGCGAACACTACACATTTAAATAAAACTAGTTTTACCGACTTAATCTCGTACATTAACTTATTTTATACTCCCAAAGTTTCGAGTATTTTACAGCACCATGGTCACGGGGGGGACTGAGCTGTTTGACGTCCCAATGTCATAGTTAACCAGGGCTATCTCCAGATTAAAAATTATATTTTTTCCGATCTACGCAGTACGAACGTCTTGCAGTTGTATGCTTGGTTTGGGATTTAATTTTATTAATTAAATCCCAAACTAAGCATATGGTAGCACCCAGCAATCCGTAAAACTAGTTTTATTTAAAAATAATTTATTACTAAAAATATAAATACCAACAACAGAATGTTAATACAACACAATAATAGAGCAAATTTTTATAATAGTAAGTGAATTACAAGAGTAGTAAATAAAAGTAGAAATTCGAATTTATTCAAAAATGGTGGTCTTAGAATTTAATGTACATTATAGGGAAGGAACAATATTGTCTTTTATCATACAGGCTGTACTACGTGAACGACGTCCTTTATATGCTGCACGTGCTGCAGAAGCAGCAGCACGAGCCAGGCTTTCACGCGCTCGTAAAGAAAGGCTTGGTCATGCCCAGAAACAGCATGCTGTAGATGCAAGACGTCTAATACAAGCAGCAAAAGCAATATTTGAAGAACACGATGTAGCAAGATGTCTAGAAGCCGCTGAATTTGCGATGGAACAAATATCAAGAAAGCCAGCTAATTTACTCCCTGAAAAAGAAAAGTACTTACTGGAGTTGTATGATTTGGTTGCTCACGTTTTCTTAGATCAGGTAATTATTAATAATTGCTTAATATTATAAGTATGTACTATTTTTACTAAAAATAAGATGTTAAAGTGTTGAAAATAAAAGTGATCGAATTTTATTAAGTATTGTGAATGTAAATACTCTTCTGCTTAATATGAGCATTTCCTAATACGGACAAAATTTTTCTCATTGTTTGACGGCTAATGTTTAATATATAAGCATGCTGTATTATATACGTTTACGTTTTTATTGTAGAAACGAGTAAAAGAAAAAATGAGTGAAGTGGATCGTGAGAAAAGAGCATTCGTTTTATTGGGAATTTCTGTATCTCGTGAACCAAGCCATGATTCAGTTTTACGTTCAAGACCTATGGCACCGCCTCGTGACGTTACGTAATAAATTTAAAAATAAGATTTGAAGATAAAAATTCTGTAAAAAATTTATAAGTAGTATGGGTGAATCTACATTTTTTTTTAATTAAACCAAACATTTGGGGTTTCAGACGTCGTTTACGCGCTTTAGAGCGCTCGCTGTCTCTACATGCTCGTCCATCGGAACGTTGTTACGTGCTTCATGAATTGTCCCGAATTTATGTCGACACTAAACAAGCACAAAAAGCTAGATTTTTTGCTCTTAAATGTCAATCTGGTAAATATAGTTTTGTGAAAATATTAGTACTATAGCATTTATTAATTGTCTAGGCGTCAATACTAGTTTTAAATACAATATTGTTAAATTTTACAGAGGCCCGTACAGCAGATCAGCGTATCTGGTTAATAAATACTACATTTCTCCTGGCTCGATGTCACTTGCTCCAGAATAATCGACCTGAGGCGAGAGCAGCTTTAATTGAAGGAGCGGCGCTAGCTCGTTCTTTTGGTTTTCAGGATGTTGCTACATTTTTCGAAACGGTACTACGAGTATAAAACTATTTCTAGTGTACATATAAAAAATAAAATTTTATATTATTATATATTAAATTAATTAATTGAAATAATTTATAATAATATCATTTCAGTGTGTTAATGTATCAACAGAAGGTGAAGTGGGTTCCACGGAAGCATTACTTGAGAAACGTGAGCAGGAAATGATCAGATTGATGCAAGATGATGACTTGCGATCTGCTGCCAAACACTTATTTAAGCGAATGTCTGTCATACCCGCTTCCAGGTGATTTTTGTTTGAAATTATGAGAACTTATCTTACTATGTTTATATTTTTAAATATTAAAAACTTATAGCCATTCACTACAGCTGATTTTTCTGCATTAATAGTCTTCTTACATCTTTCATTATATCATTAGTCAGAATAAGTTTACCTCTCGAGAACTTTATGTCCCCTAAACATTGTCAATGTTGCGCAGTTTATTAATATGTATTCATAAAATTTCTTTCAAAATATGAAATATCAAATAATATAATAATAACTGATGGCTTTCTGGCCGATCTTGATTAGATGACAATAGACATATTTTATAAAAAAAAAACTCTACTTTAAATGTTACAGGCGCTTTTCTGTACTTCCTGGAACACATAGTGAGGTAAATACAGCAACATCGTCAGGGGCTCGCCGTGCTTCAATCGCCCCTAAAACCCAACAACCTGCACGAGTTATGCGTAAATCACGTTATCCGTTGGGTTTTCAGGAATTTGATATTTAAGTAAATTTTACGTGTATACTTTTTGAAATATTTGGTTCTTTGATTTGATTGATGGAATATTTATGTAAAATAAATAATTACAGACACTTTTAAAATTTATTTCACTCAATATTATCTTACACTAGCTGTTCCGTCCGTTTTTCTATTATTTTATTAAACATTATTTAGTAAGTGTTAGACAGTTAATTTATCTCCTTGAGTAATTATTAGGGTCTTAAAATAATGTCATTTTAAGGCAGTTATACAAAAACTAAATAAGGCTGTGGTGGGATTTCTGTTCCTCAAAATGTCGAACAATATTTGCGTAAATACTTAGCGCTTCTGAAGCACTTATTTTCAAATAAAGTAAATATAACCAGCATGTTTACAGATATCGAGTTTGATAAGTAGCACATCCCCTGATGGACAACAAACTCAAAGTTTTAATTTTGAATATGGGGTAACATTTTGTTTTCACTTTAATTAAAACCAAGTGAATTAAATTTAGTCACTTCTTTCTCGTATATTTTCTAAAATTGTTCTCTATCCTGTTGCACTGCATAGTCGATTTTATGCTGAATTTCAAAAGAACAAGTCCAAACGTTCATCATCATCATTCATCATCATCATTACAGCCCTTCACAAGTCCACTGCTGAACATAGGCCTCCCCCAAAGAATGCCACAAAGCACGGTCCTGAGCCACCTGCATCCATCGACTTCCTGCATGTCTTACCAGGTCGTCACTCCATCTCGTGGGGGGACGCCCTACACTTCGCCTACCGGTACGAGGCTGCCACTCGAGAACCTTTCTTCCCCATTGGTTGTCGGTTCTTCGAGCTATATGGCCGGCCCACTGTCACTTCAGCTTACTAATCCGTCCAAACGTTCACGTGTAATTAAATAACAATAAATGTTTAAGCAAACGTACGTTTACATTTGTAATGTTACTAAGTCTGATTGGTCACGGAGTGTGTATCAGGAAGCCGGGAAAGAGCGCGCTATTTGATTTAACCAATGAGTGCGTGCGGTGGTAGAGTTGGTGGTCAGGAGGTACCAACCCATTTTCCGAGAGTGTGGTACTATCAGCCAACAGTGTGTGTGTGTGTGTGTGTGTGTGTGTGTGTGTGTGTGTGTGTGTGTGTGTGTGTGTGTGTGTGAGAAGTGCAGATCATTGATAAAATATACAAGCGGGTAATTATGAATAATTATGGTAATTAATATTTTAGTATTTAGCTTCTTTAAATTTTTAGATAAATTTCTCTCGCTGCTGAATTCATATTGTTAATTTTGATTAAACTAAACCTTATTATTATTATCAGAGATATTCCCTTGTGTATTAATTTCTTATATAAAACAGTAAAATTTTATATAACTACAATTACTAAAAAGTTTCTAGAACATAATCTCTAAATTATACCAGTTTTCAGTTTTTTGTTATAAAATTTTGCTTATTTATTCTAAGCAGGTCATCCAATTTTCATAACTCCAATTGGAATATTGGTCCCCTAGACCTAAACCTATTTTTGGAGAAATTAATGAAATATCTTTACAAACATAAATTTTGTAAGTTTGTGAGTTCCTTTGTAGGAAGGAATCTCTGGAACTACTGAACCGATTTTAAAAATTCTTTCACCAGTAGAAATCTCCATTATTGCTGAGTGAAATGTGCTATATTTGATTGTGATACATAATATTTTATTAATTTCAAATAACAATATTTTTCAATCAATTCCGAAAATAAATCCTAAACACACAGTACTAAGAACCACACAAGATAATTTCATCACAAGTAAAAATGCTTGACACCCAGCAAAGTGGGCACGGGTCAACTAGTCTAATATATAAAAAAGAATATTTGTTTGTTCGTATTTTATATGCCGCCATAACGTTCGTCAAACTATGGTAAAACTTTGTCAACTTATTGCTTGCACTTGCGCGAAGGTTATAGGCACAGTAAAAATAACTTATAGTAGGTGGCGCGCGTATCATACCAACAAATTTATTTGAAAGTTAAATAATATGATTCAACGTGTTATACGTGGTAGAGCCATGCTGCAGCTATATAAGTAGTATATTTGTAGCATGAATGGGTAGGCTCGACCGGGGAAGGACCACGATCTCACAGAATACCAGCGTAAAATGGCAGTCTGACACTGCTGTGTTTCGTATGGTGAATGTAGAGAACCGGATATCCATTTTACTACAAAAGAGGCTTCCATCTTATTTCTCATGGGTGACGACGCATCTGAATTTTGATTCTTTATTGAGGATAAATGTAGATGTCTATGGGTCACAGCAACCACTTACCATCAGGTGGAATATGTGCTCACTTGTCACCCTGTCCTATAAAAAAAAACTTCAAGGACATTATAATTTCTAACGCGCTGGGTAAAAGCTAGTAACTTATAAAACTTTCTGACTCGATACGTTAACATAACATAAAAAATGCGCGAGTAGCGATCCTACTTCTACTTGCACCCTGGAACTTAAATTGGGTCTCGCTGTCGAAACTAGTTAGACTTTTTACGAAATACAATTTATTGGTGATGAAATTAGACGTTAGATGTTACAGATCATATGCGACTACTGTAATACTCGCTCGTTTTATTGCCACTTAATACGACTCCTCGGTTTGAATTCTATTCGGGGCTAACATTTTGTGCAAAGACACAAATTATAGATTTTCGATTTACTTGCCTTTACGTTCCTTCTAAATTGGGTAACAGCAGCAGTTTATGACACTTTTGAGTCGTTGGTAGTGTATGCGATCTGTACTTTGAAAACAATTGTCTACTATGAGTTTGAGTGTCCTCGCCCTGATTTTAGACCTACCGACTAGAACTGACGAGTTTGGTTATTTCGTGTCATCGTATAGTTTGTGAAACAATAACGCCCAGGTTTTATGAAGTGCATCCAAGCTTAATATTCTCGAAAGAATTGCCGACGAATATCATAAATAAAGTACAAAATCAAGCTTTACCGTTTCACATCATGAAATCCATGTTGCGGCTATATTATTTTTATTGCTCGAATAAGCATTTTCGAAGGGGAAGCTCTCACAGAATACCAGCGTATACAGCTGATTAATGTTAGTGTGTTTCATAAAGATAATGTAAAAAACCAAAGACCATCTTTAATTATAACGTATCATTCCATCTTAGTTCTCTGATGAGCTAACGAATCTGCATTTTGATAGTTCATTGAGGCTATAGTAAGGGGTCTATAGGCCACAACAGCCACTAAACATCATGTGGACTGTGTACTCGTTTGTCATTTAAAAAAAGAGTAGATTAGAACGAGTTATAACTTCCGTGTTTGGACCGGTCAATACTTGTGACACTACAATAATAAGACCTACGCACTTTATTAAGACAAACGCACGTTTTTAGAGCAACATCATCAGAATGATACGTAACGTTAACGTAGATGCTTAATAGCAATTCAACTGTGTTTTCATAACCATCATCACCACTCAAAATAACTAGTTCAAGCGTCCACACAGTCCACCTGATGGTAAGTGGTTGCTGTGGCCCATAGACGTCTACATTTCTCTACGTTTGTAAATTAAAATGCAGATGCGTCAGCCGTGAGGACTAAGACAGAATGCCTCTATTTCAGTAAAAAGGGTATCCGGTTCTCTTCACTCACTATACGAAACACAACAGCATAACGCTGCTATTTTACGCTGGTATTCTGTGAGAGCGTGGTCCTTCCCCGGTCAAGCCGACCCATTCGTGCTACAACTATACTATTAATATATCTACAGCATGGCTCAACCACGTAAAACTCTATATTAGCACAAACTATTAGGCGGTATACTATCTGCTGTATATAAACTATGATATGATAATATTTTATTAGTCGCAGTGAAAACTCCGGAAGATCATTAAAACAATATTTCAACCTTCATTACTTCATTGCAATCTATTAAACGTGCGAAATAGAATTAGCTACGAAATTCTGTTTTCCAAATATTAAATATTTTAACGTAAAACATCCAGCGTACAATGAATTCGTTTGGGAACAATAAAAGGGTAAATAAGTGAAGAATATAAATAAAGAGTGATCTCGCTGTTTTATTGTTGTTACCAGTTGAAAAGTTGACGGTAATAATATATTTCTTTGTTTTACAATACCAACAGAATTGTAAATAAGAATAGTCATCAAAGTGTTATTATTTATTCTTGTTGGAAAGTGTTGACCTTTTTATAATAATAATAGGAATTACGAAGTAGGTCCGATGCGACAGGTTTTCGCAACAAGCTTAAAGGATAACAGTAATTAAAAGACCCCGACTGCGTAAACAACTTTATGAAAAGAAAAATTTTATACTCGTTTAGTCACTTCCACTACTAAAACGAGATTTTGGAAAATACATATAATACATACAAACTCTCGAAAAACATTATCCTTATTCTGGGGCGGTCGTGTCAAAATAGCACAACCAGATCAGATTTCTTTGACAGGGGAGAAAAAATTAACTAAATTCTAAAAACTAAAAATCATTTTCTACAAAATATTTACTAAAATATTAGTCTTCTTTTAAAAGGGGTGACATAACATATTATTTTTAAATTCTTAATGCATATCACTTGATTGCAAAGAAACAAATAAACTGCTTGTAATTTGGTGAGGTTACAATAATATCATTATCGTCATCATTACAGCCCTTAACTAGTTCACTGCTGAACATAGGCCTCCCCCAAGGAATGCTACAAAGCAGGATCCAGAGCCACCTCCATCCATCGACTTCCTGCATGTCTTACCAGGTCGTCACTCCATCTAGTGGGGGGACGCCCTACACTTCGTCCGCCGGTACGAGACCGCCACTCGAGAACCTTTTTTCCCCATCGGTTGTCGGTTCTTCGAGATATATGGCCGCCCCATTGCCACTTCAGTTTACTAATCCATTGGACTATGTCGGGAGGGGGGAGGGGGGCACACAGATGTGTTCGACATCCTAATATCACTGTTAACCCCGGCTACCTTCAGATTAAAATGATTAATTTTTGGTCCGATC